AAAAAAAAAAAAAAAAAAAAAGTAGGAAGAAAGGTTTTAAAACGCGTCTTTTTGATGATTGTATTGAATATATAAAAAAAAAAGCAGAAAGCCATTTGTCAACGGACGATTCTAGCACTCCAACAACAAAACTGGCGCGAGTACTGCTCTCGTTTACACCATTCATCAGATTTAGATAAAATATGAAAATTCGTGAAGCATATGAAGGGTGGGAGTTCTATTCCTATTCCTACGCTTAAAACTCCTGGATCAGCATATTTGACGGATGTTGAAAAGGCGAATGCGCTGGCTGATCAATTTGCCCTCATCAGCAGTTCTGACAATTATTCAACCTAATTTTCGAAATATAACAAATTATATGAACATGATAATTCCGCCACTATTACTAAGAAGCCAAATAATAGTAATGCGTTGAATGCTGAATTCAATATCAGTGAAATTAAACAAGCAATAAAGACATCTAGAAACGCGGCCCCTGGTGACGATAGAATTCCTTACAAAATCTATAAAAATCTTTCTCTAAATTTTTTTCGTAAAACTGCTGGAATATTTCAATAAGATATGGAATGAAGGAACCCTCCCTTCAGCCTGGAAGCACGCAATAGTTTGCCCAATCCCTAAGCTAGATAAAGATCCAAGCTCTATTACATCGTATCGACCAATTGCTCTTACTTCTACTATGTGTAAAATTATGGAACAAATGATCGCCAACCGTTTGCATTGGTATTGTGAAAAACATAGACTTTTCGACAAGTTTCAGTCTGGTTTCTGTTGGAAGAAGTCTACGTTTGATCATCTTTTATGGCTACATGAAGATGTCAACAAATCATTGTGCAACAGAGGTAAGGCAGTATCCGTGTTCTTAGATATTGAAAGAGCATACGATATGGTCTGGAAAGAAGGATTGTTATATAAATTCAATAGTTACGGTTTTGATGGCCAACTCTTCAACTGGATTAAAGAATTTCTTTCAAACAGATCCTTTAAGGTCAGAGTCAATGGAGTCGTCTCTGGGGAAAGAGTCTCAGAAAATGGTACTCCCCAGGGTAGTGTTATTAGGTCTATTTTGTTCCTTCTCATAATTAATGGCATTAGTTCTTCCTTTATTAGTAATAGCACGAATTATAGTATTTTTGCTGATGGTTTAGCCCTCTGGGAAAACTGGTCGTAATATTAATCATATCCAAACCTGTCTTCAAACAAATCTGGATAATTTAGCCGATTAGGTTTTTAAATGGGGCTTTACGGTTTCAGCCCAAAAGTCTGTAGTTCTCCCTTTTTCTCGTACTTCAAACACAGTGAAATTAATCTTTAATAACCAACTACCCTCCGTCACCCAATACACATTTCTTGGAGTTATCTTTGATTTCAGGTTAAGTTGGATGCGTCATATCACCTATGTCTCGCAAAAATGTGCTAAACGACTCAATTTGCTTAAATGTGTGTCCGGCACACGTTGAGGAGCGTCCAAAAAGACTTAATTACTTATATATAAAACCTTAAGACGATCCGTTATCCACTATGGCAGTATAATCTATGACTCTGCGAGTTACTCAGTCCTTAAACAACTGGACGTTATTCAAAATCGATGCTTGCGATTATGTTGTGGAGCATTAAAACACATCTCTATATCAGCCATGGAAGTAGACTGTGGTGTCCTACCCTTTGACTTACAGAGACGGAAGATGCAACTCAAATTTATAGCAAAGTCTTTGTACTACGATTATCCGTTAATTTCTTTCAAAAGGATTGGAGAGATTATAACGGAACCTTTCAACGAAATAACTTGCCAATGTCAGTTAAAATTGCAGACTTTTTCTCGTTCGTGAACCTCCAGAACGTTGCTAAATACCAATATTTTCCCTTTCCTCCTTGGGAGATTCCAACCCCTGATGTCGACGTCACTCTACATTATGGTGGGAAAAAATGGGAGCAAAGTTATTTGCTTTTGTCCTTGGCTAAGGAAAAACTAGCATGCTTCTCTGACTATACATGTATATTTACGGATGGCTCCAAGTCTACCAGTTTTAATTACTCGGCATTTTATATCAAAAATCTCAACATCAGAAAAGCATTTAAAACTGCACCTGCATCTGTATATTAGGCTGAACTAATAATGGCTGGAGACGGCTTGAATGGGTAATGAAGAAAAACTTCAATATAAGTTTAACATAACAGCAAATGTACAACGTTTCGACAAAGTTTTGTCATCATCAGGTAAGAATTGTGTAAGAATATTGTTACGTCTCCGTTTGTTAATTGATTTTCCGTAACTTCGTTCCGACGAAACTTTAGCGACA